CTTAAGGGGAGCGATTCTGCTGGCTTAAGGTTCAAGCTAGCAGAATTCAAAAAAAATACTTTTTGTTGATGGCATATTTTTTCACCCATTTTTCACTAATTTATTACCACCCTAATAATTTTTCACCACCAAACCAACCTTAAGGGGAGCGATTCTGCTGGCTTAAGGTTCAAGCTAGCAGAATTAAAAAAAAAAACTTTTTGTTGATGGCATATTTTTTCACCCAATTTTCACTAATTTATTACCACCCTAATAATTTTTCACCACCAAACCAACCTTAAGGGGAGCGATTCTGCTGGCTTAAGGTTCATGCTAGCAGAATTCAAAAAAAAAACTTTTTGTTGATGGCATATTTTTTCACCCATTTTTCACTAATTTATTACCACCCTAATAATTTTTCACCACCAAACCAACCTTAAGGGGAGCGATTCTGCTGGCTTAAGGTTCATGCTAGCAGAATTCAAAAAAAAACTTTTTGTTGATGGCATATTTTTTCACCCATTTTTCACTAATTTATTACCACCCTAATAATTTTTCACCACCAAACCACCCTTAATGGGAGCGATTTTGCTGGCTTAAGGTTCAAGCTAGCAGAATTTAAAAAAAAACTTTTTGTTGATAGCATATTTTTTTACCCATTTTTCACTAATTTATTACCACCCTAATAATTTTTCACTTCCAAACCACCCTTAATGGGAGCGATTCTGCTGGCTTAAGTTTCAAGCTAGCAGAATTCAAAAAATAAACTTTTTGTTGATGGCATATTTTTTCACCCATTTTTCACTAATTTATTACCACCCTAATAATTTTTCACCACCAAACCAACCGTAAGGGGAGCGATTCTGGTGGCGTAAGGTTCAAGTTAGTAAAATTAAAAAAAAAACTTTTTGTTGATGACATATCTTTTCTCCCATTTTTCACTAAATAATTACAATCCTAATATTTGTTCAGAATCAAACCACCCTTAAGGGGAGCGATTCTGTTGGCTTACGGTTATACCATACCATATACCATATTGTTCTGCTAGGTTTTTACAAATGTATTACAACCCGAGTAATTTTTCACCCCTTAACTACCCCTTGTGAAAAGTCAATAATTGTGTTAGATTAAAATTTACGAAGAAATTTTTTCCTCTTTTCTACTTATAACTGAAATAAAAAAAGTGGTTTGTTAAGTTTTTACTATACTTTGACCATCCTAATAATTTTGCACTTCTAAACTAATCTTATTTAAAAATGTTCCTGCTAGCTCAATATTTGAACCAGCAAAATCAGAAAAAAATTATTTTTTTTAATATCACAGTGTTTTGCTAGGTTTTTGCGAATTTATTTCCACACTAGCAATTATTCACCCCTCAACTGCCTCCTATGGGAAGTCAATAATTCTGTTAAACTTTAAGGTGAAAAATATTCTTTTACAATGTTACTCTTCGCTACTTATAACTGAAATAAAAAAGTGTTATGTTAAGTTTTTCGGCAGAGATCTTGTTCTTTAAATTTTAGGGAGCTTACACTTCATCCATAATCCAATGAGACCTAATGTTATTTCTGTAGATCGGTTTTATAGAATAACAACAGTCATATACTTTTTAATTATAAAATGACTGCTCTGTATTATCCAGTAAAAGAATTACCACTAGATGAATCGATGGTACCGTGGAAAGTTAGACTTAGTTTTAAACAATATATTAAATAAAAAACACATAAAAGACGGTATGAAGGTTAGAATTAATTCGTAAATTAATTCATAAAAAAAGTAAAGAAAGACGGAATATCGTACGCGAACATTTACCTATAAATAATTGATATAGAATTATTAATATAAAAAATTAATAATAAAAAGATGCAGAGTAAGTACTATCCTAAACATTAGAAAAAACCCAATTTTCTATAACAGCTGTTCTGACCAACCGGTAATTTTCGATTTATTTGAATATACCTACTTAAAATATTTATATCCTAAAATGTTTTCCAAGATAAATTCTTTGTGCTATAGGTACACATAATCTTAAAAATATGTTTTGACCAATCGTTAATACTCTTCTTATTTGAATAATATTAAATACCTAAATTATTTTTCAAATTTTCATGTACCTACTGAATACAAATCTTTTAATCTCTTAACAATAGATACGCACGGTCCCGACCCTTCTTTTCAATTAGTTAAATAATATAATAGAAGTAATAAAATTATTTCAATTTGTGTGTTATGTTATTTTGAATGTTTATTACCTGGTAATACCTGGAATGTTAGTTTGAATTACCTGGTAATTTATTCTGTGAAATATAAAAATTCCATTGTATTGACTAATACTCAACTCGATTTCAGTTATTTTATATTCATAAAGGGTTCAAATTTATAGTTTTTTGGAATAAAGTATTTTCAATATTTAAACACTAAAAAAATAAAAAATTGTTAGCATAGAATAAGATTTGAAAACGTTTTTCAATTAGAGTAGTTGAGAAAAACATGACTAGGTTGGTAAAAATATAGTAAAAATCTAGGAGAGCACTCTTGTGTTTCCAAAAAAAGTTTTTTTATTCACCTAGCCTCAATGTGTAGCTTTTTGAATGTTTCCCGTTAACTGAGGCTCAGGGGGTCAAAAATTATAAGGGTGGATCAAATTCAGTAAAAACCTGGCAAGCAATTTATAAAATCAGTTAAAAGTAGAATACAGTTAAATTATAGAAATAGATTTTTTATCACCTTAAATTTTAACCTAGCAGAATTATTGATTCCGGATTGGGAGGGTAGTTAAAGGGTAAAAAAATTACTAGGATGCTAATATATTAGTACAAATCTAGCACAATACTATCGTATCTCATATTTACGAAAAAATTTGCTTTGTATTTAACTAGCGTAAATGTTTAGATGGTAGAATTGTAGACGAAAATCTATTTGCCACAGAAAAGAGTAACATTATAAAACAATACTTTTTCAATAGCAGAATTATTAACTTCCAACAAGGGTTAGGCGAGGGATAAAAAATTACTAAGTTGGTATAGAATACTATAATATTTCAAAAATACGTTTTTTTTCTAATTTCGCTGGTTCGAATATTGAGCTAGCAGACAAGTTTCCGAATAGGTTTATGGGAGCAAAATTATCAGGATGGTCAAAGTTTAGTAAAATCTTAACTAAACACTTTTTTATTTCAGTTATAAGTAGAGGAGAGTAAATTTGAAAAACAAATTCTCCTTTAATTTTAATCTATCACAATTATTGACGTTTCACAAGGGGTAGTTAAGGGGTGAAAAATTGCTAGGGTGGTAATAAATTCGTAAAAACCTATCAAAACACTATGGTATGTCGTACATATTTATTTTAATTCTGCTAGTTGGAACCGTAAGCCAGCAAAATCGCTCCCCTTAAGGGTGGTTTGATGGTGAAAAAATATTATGATGGTAATAAATTAGTGAAAAATGGGTGAAAAAACATGCCATCAACAAACAGTTTTTTTTTTAATTCTGCTAGCTTGAACCTTAAGCCAGCAGAATCGCTCCCCTTAACGTTGGTTTGGTGGTGAAAAATTATTAGGGTGGTAATAAATTAGTGAAAAATGGGTGAAAAAATATGCCATCAACAAAAAGTTTTTTTTTGAATTCTGCTAGCTTGAACCTTAAGCCAGCAGAATCGCTCCCCTTAACGTTGGTTTGGTGGTGAAAAATTATTAGGGTGGTAATAAATTAGTGAAAAATGGGTGAAAAATATGCCATCAAGAAAAAGTTTTTTTTTTGAATTCTGCTAGCTTGAACCTTAAGCCAGCAGAATCGCTCCCATTAAGGGTGGTTTGGTGGTGAAAAATTATTAGAGTGGTAATAAATTAGTGAAAAATGGGTGAAAAAATATGCCATCAACAAAAAGTTTTTTTTTTGAATTCTGCTAGCTTGAACCTTAAGCCAGCAGAATCGCTCCCCTTAAGGTTGGTTTGGTGGTGAAAAATTATTAGGGTGGTAATAAATTAGTGAAAAATGGGTGAAAAAATATTACGTAGGTTAAATTGGATTCCGCTCATGTGTCCCCCCTAGCTTAAGGGTCCTGTTATTATAAATAAGAAGAATTGGAAGAACATAAAAACTAAAATTACCGTCGAGAAATACATAAGTGTTTGTTCACATTTAAATATAATAATTAGTAAGAAAAACCTATGGTGAGTGCACACCTGTTTAAAAAAAAATTAAAAACCAAAGTTTAAAGATATATTTATAAAACAAAGTGTAATGAACTCATATTCATAGGTATTTGGCATTTCATAGGTAACTTTGGCATTAATTTTGGAAAGTTTTGGAAATTTACCATAGTTTTTGTTATTTTGGTATACTGCCTTCTACCTACACATGAAAATCGCTCGACCTTTTCATTATCACTGTATAGAATTAAAATAAACCCGCATTTTTATGAAATGAGACAATTAATTCAGCACCCAATATTTTTAAAATGACAATGACCTCAAGTTAGCAACAATTTTGCAACTCCTTTGCGAATGCAAATACCGCTATCTTAAATGATTATCCGTTTCATTCCGACATTTTCTTTGTGGCTGCCCCAAAATGGGGAAAATACACCTATATCCAATACAATACATGGATTTTTTAACTAAAAATTTCTTATTTAAAAAGAAAATTGACCAGGTCAAATGAAATCTATGGCGAATATACTCGTGGAACCAGACTACTCTTGGCGAATTTGTTGCAAGACATTTTGCAACGGCTGTACACAGATGTGAATGCACTATGTATGGATCAAGGGTTGAATTTTTACCTGACTCAAGGACGACAACATAGAGCATCGTCTCACGAATTAAAAACATGTGTAGTCAAAATATATTTATTCTATTTTTAGACCAATTATTTCAAAATAGCGAAAAACGTTAGGAAAATTCCCGTTATTAAGAATACGCGACGTACACCAGACCTAATAAAAATCAATAATAGTCTAAATATACCAATTTACTTTAAACAAAGAAAACGTTTCTAGTCGATAAAAGAAATATTACTTACTTTTAAAAACGTGTTAGAAGTTGTTGTACCGGCAACATCCAGCAGTATAACAATGGATTTTTCCACATTCAAAGCAGGGCTCGAATTTTCAGCACTCATTTTGCTTTGCTCACTAACTTTGAATGACCAGCACTATTTTACTTTAAGTAATTGCGATTTTATGCAGTATTTTTTATTAAAAATGTGGAATAAACTAGCCGGCACTGATCGTAGTTGTTCCGGTTTAGCTTCTATAACGTAAATGACAAAATACAAAATGGTGAACGTTTCTCCAACGAGAATATGCGCTTGTAGAAAAAACCGCCAAACGAGAACAAGCGAAAGCTTACGAATAAACAGAAATTGCGACCGCGAAAAATAGATTGGTTTTGAATTTAGGAATTTCAAATCAAATGCTAGATCATTTGAAAATTATCAGTTATTTGCAAATTAGATATATTAAAGTTAATACACATTTTAAATCATAAGTACATAATTAAAATTTACATTGCTCCATATGAAACACAAATGATTAATGCCTTGTCTAATATTACCTACGGCCAATAGATGGATTAAGGGTGATTAAATATTTTAGAATCGTAAAATGACAAATAAAATATTATTTAAGAATGCTTTGATTGCATATTCAACATATTGTTTTTATATCTTTTTTTTATTATGTAGATCATTCAGAGTAATAAATGATTAGAAATAATTTCCTCACAGCAAATTTCGAACAAACATGAAGCATAAGTTAGGGATCTAAATATTAAATAAACAATAATACAATAATTATACAACTGTATAAATCAACTATTATAAGTCACTTATATACATCAACAATTAACACTATTTATTTTTATTTTTTATTCAAAGAAATAAATAATTAAATTAAATTAAATTTATAAGTTGTTTATAATTTATTATTCCATGAAACGAAGCCGAAAAATCACTTGAAAATCGAAAAATTACGGGACGCTAATTTTTAACTGAAATATCTGGGTGGTGTGGATAGAAAGGGCGTATTTTATCTCTTGGCTATCGAATCTTTTACCGCCTCATGAGACTTCAGCAAAAAGGGGCATTTTTCATTAATTTCAATATTGTGAAAAAATTACGCATTTTAGATAAAAACGTTCCTAAGACGTTAAAACCTAACCTAACCTAACCTAACCTAAGACGACTTTCTTCAAAATACTTTCTCTTTAAAATCATCATCATCATCTTTGGCTCGACAATCCTCTGTGGATCTTGGCCTGCTCTAAGATTCGACGCCATTCTGTTCGGTTTTTGGCAACATGTTGCCATCTTCTGATTTTTAATATTCGTAAGTCGGTTTCTACTCCATCTAACCACCTAATTCGCGGTCGGCCTTCCTGTGGTTAGCTTTTTAGCAATGGTATATTCTGGCATTCGTATTATGTGTCCAGCCCATCTAAGTCGCTGTATTTTAATGAACGTTATGACATCTGGCTCATCAAAGAGCTGATACAATTCAAAATTATATCTTCTGCGCCACTGCCCTTGGTCGTTTACAGCTCCAAATATTTTGCGGAGTATTTTACGCTCAAATATTCCCAGAAGTCTTTCATTTTTCTGGGTTAGAGTCCATGTTTCTGCTCCATATGTGAGTACCGGCCTCAGCAATGTTTTTTATATAATAATTTTAGTTTTTCTTTGAATGTTTCTTGAGTGGAAATGCTTTTGGAGTTCATAGTATGCCCTATTTGTAAGATTTATTCGTCTTTTGATTTCTTCGCTTGTTTTATTGGTAGTAGTCAATAGCGACCCAAGGTATGTGAAGTTGTCAACACGTCCAAAGGTATGACTTCCAAAGACTGTTTCTCGTTCCTCATTTGCTATCGGATCCTTTGTAACCAACATGTACTTGGTTTTGTCTTCGTTGATGACTAGACCGACCTGTTTCGCCGCTGTTTCTAATTCTAGGAGATATTGCTCAACATCTCGCTTGCTACGCCCTACTATGTCAATGTCATCAGCATATGCTAAGACTTGTATCGATCTATTGTTAATAGTACCGCCATCCCTAATTCGTGTATCTCGGACTGCCTTTTCTAAGGCAATATTAAATAGGAGGCAAGCCAGAGCATCTCCTTGTCTAAGTCCATCCTTTATCTCAAAGGATCTAAAACTCTCTCCCTGTATTCTAACAGTGGCTTCTAAGTTAGACATTGTCATTCTCGTTAGTCGGATAAGTTTCTCTGGTATACCAAACTCATGCATTGATTGGTATAGGACTGTTCTCTTGACACTGTCGTAAGCGGCCTTGAAGTCGACGTATAGGTGATGGGTTTCAATATTGAATTCTAATGTTTTCTCGAGAATCTGTCTTATTGAATGAATCTGGTCAATTGTTGATTTTTCTGGAGTGAATCCAACTTGATATTTACCAATTATGCCCACTGTGTAAACTTGTAACCTTTCGTAGAGAATATTTGCTAGTATTTTGTAAGCAGTTGTTAACAGGGTTATACCTCTATAGTTGTCACACTGGAGCTGGTCACCTTTTTTATGTAACGGGCATATCACGCCTTAAGACCATTTACAAGGCATGGTCTCATTATACCAAACAAGAAGTAAAAGCTTATGCAGTGTCTGTAGTAGGGCATCGCCACCATTCTTGTAGAGCTCACTGCAAATTTGATCAACTCCTGGTGATTTATTATTTTTAAGCTTTTTAATGGCTTGGACAACGTTTTCGATGGTAAGTGGTCTTTTGTTTGGGTTGAAAGGATTCCAATCATTTCGATTTGCTAGGGTGTTATCTGCTTCTTCGATATGATGGCCATTAAATTTTGCATCGAAAAATTCAACCCATCTGTTTAGGATTGAGGCTGTATCATTTAGGATGTTTCCTTCTACATCCTTACAGCTCCTTATTCTTGGCTTAAACTCTATGCGCATTTTGTTTGGATTTCTGTAGAACTTTCGAGTTTCATTTTGATTTCTTAGCCATTCTGTGCTTTCCAACTGCTTTTGCTCAAATTGTCTTTTTTTTCTTCTATGTAATCGTTTTTCTTCTCTTCTTAGTGTCCGGTATTCTTCCTTTGCTCTTCTTGTGCATCCAGCTTGATTTGTCTTTAGGTATGCCCTGTTTTTGTTATCTGTTGCTTCTTGGCACTCCTTGTTAAACCATTCGTTTTCTTTAACTGGTTTGGTTTTCCCCAATATTTTTGTTGCTTTCTCAGTTATTATGTTTCTTAAGTTTATTATGTTCTCTTTAAAATGAGATTTTCTAAATTAAAAATGTTTATAAACAAAAGAGTTATTGCAAATTAAACCAGAATGTAAGCATGATTTTCAATTGTTTATAATAATTAAAATAATAAAGAAAAACATTTAAAACATATTTCATAATAGGAGCTTTTATGTAGTTTCTAAACAATTATATTTGTTTATCCCATTTGAGAGAATAAAGGTCTTTTTCAAATAGCTGTACAGGTGATTTGTCAATACTTAGAATGTTTTTTGGTCTGATATATCTTTATAAGGTCTCAAATTTTCATGTTTTTTAAAAACTATAATAATTTTTAATTGTTTACTTACAAATAATTGAAACAGAATGAAGTACCATTACCAGTATATTGGCAATATCCCTAACTTATGCCGCGCAGTACCTATTACATTGTTCCACATTTTTCTTTTTTGGATCAACTGACTTCCATCCACTTCGAGGGCCGTGAGGACTTGTTATGTTTAGGAAGGCGGTGGTCTGTGAGGTAATTACTACCGAGTGGATGTTAAGGAGGACAGCTCCGGGTACCAGGCGACACTCGGATTGCATTTGCATTCTGAAGGCTAGTATCTGAAGAAATTGGAGCATGGTAAGGACATGCGTCTGAATAAGGCTAATGTAGTAATGAGAAACAATGAGCGCCATAACCAACAGGGTAAGATCTGGTATACAGATGAATCCAAAACTACAACTACAAAAGGTGTGGGGTAGGAATATACTCATCGAGCAATAAGACAAAAGAGGGAATCTAATGCTTATGAAAAGGAGACCAAAAAAGTGGCCTCTGATGGCGGACATATCCGGAAATGCGAATGCGCCAAATTTAAATTTTCCGACACTTATCAACAATAGCTAGGATATAATATTTTTCAGAATGTGTCTTAGACGAGAAAGTTTTAATTAATTATTAATAAGAGTCTAAAATACGACACAATTGTTAAAAAACTTCAATATAAATAAGATTTCATGTGACATTTGGGACAAACAATAACATAACCCAACTAAATTTGATGTCAAACAAGGAGAGAGACTCTCTTTCCTTGTTTAATGTGGCCTCTAAAGATCACACTTCCTGTCTAACAATATGTTTGCCCCCACTACCTTTACATTCCCTCTTTTGTCTTTTTGCTCGATGAATATACTTCAATAATCCAAACATTACCGAAAGTTTTGCCTTGGGGAGGAACTTATGCGATACTTCAATGTGCAAAAGTATATAATGAGAGAGCTCTTATAAAAAATACTGAAATATAATATAAAAAATACTGAAAATTATTTCATAGATTATTCTATAATAATGTCTCATTTTAACATTGATACATTGAAGAACCGCAGGTTGAGAGCTGATATGTTATTTTTGTTTAAAATTCTGAACAATGTTATTAATTGTCCCTCGTTATTGGACAATGTACACTTAAACACAATGCATAGAACTCGACACACTGCACTCTTTCATATTCCTTTTCATAGGACTGATTATGCTCGTTATTTTCCCCTGTCAAGAATGCTCAGCTCTTGCAATGACCTTATAATTTGATCTTTTCTGCATGAACATTAATGCTTTTAAAAGACAACTTAAGAATCTGACCATTAATCTAGATATATGATACTTACTATGTGATACTGATACTTTTTTAAAAATTTTGTGATATGATATATTGTTTTAATGTACAACTTTTAACTGTTTACTTGTTTCTTTGTTATTGTTTTGATGTTTATTGTACATGATCTTTACTTTTTACTATTTGTTGTATTTTATTGTAAATGGTTCTACCGTTGGAATGAATAAATAAATAAATAAACATCCCTAGTCCCTTAGCATGGCAAGTATTAGTATTAATACGTCACTGTTTACTGAACATGGTTCTCGGATACCAAGGTCCGGCAGGGGGAGATATAACAAGGATAACAGGGCTCCCTAGGTCGTCAACCAGAGAAATCCCTGTTCTTTAAAACCCCACAGATTAACAATTACGATCGCCCCGTTGAATGTGAGAACAATGTACGAGGAGGGCAAGACACACAATGCCATTAAGGAAATG